TTTTTTTCAATTAGTGATTGATGGCGGAGGACCCAGTCAATTGTGGGTGGTGCCATCCCTGGGCTGGTGGTTCTGGGTTCTATAAGAAAGCAGGCTGAGCAAGCTAAGAGGAGCAAGCCAGTAAGCAGCACCCCTTCATGGCCCCTGCATCAGCTCTGCTTCCAGGTGCCTGCCCCGTTGGTGATCCTGTCCTGACTCCCTTTGATTAGGAAGCATGGCAAGGAAGCATAAACTGGATACATGCTCTGTTCCCCAGGTTGCTGGGGGGGGGGGGGTGTCAGGCTGTTTTTTCACAGCAATAGTAGCTGTAACTAAGACAAGATATGAAATAAAATAAAAGATAAAAGTAAGATACAATTTTGAAAATGGAGGGGCTAGGATTCCCTGCTATGACATTATGAGAGACGACGGAAACTCCAAAGACGCCATGTTGTTTGTTTGCTGCAGTCTACTCCTGGACATGCAGCTTGTCCTAAGAGGTAGGGATCAGGAGGGGAAGCAGCGATCGGGATGTCAAATCAATTAATTAATTAATATTAATTAATTAAGAAAAAGAATATTTTGTTTCTCTAGTGAAACTCCCTTAGAGAAAACGAAGTTTTCATTTCCAAGTAGCTATCACTTGGAGATAGCTTCCGGGTGAGGGGTGGGTGCATGTACCCACTTCCTGTCGGCTATAGGAGCCTGTGTGGTGCAGACTCACGCAGGCCCTGTGCATGCTGTGACTTCATAGTGCACTGACCTTGTTGATTGAAGAGGCCTTGTCTTCTTGGTGTCCTTCATCCCCTTTAACTCTTGATTTCCGTTTTCTCTACCACTCGGTTCCCTGAGGGGAGGGGTTTGACGGAAACATCAAAGTCCATTTAGGACTGAGTGTTCCAAGGTCTCTCACTCTGTATAACGTCTGGCTGTGGGTCTACTGCATTTGTTTCTCGTTTGCCGAAGGAGGAAGCTTCCCTGATGAATGTCTGAGCAAGACACCGATCTCCGAGAATAACGGAACATCATTAAGAGTCATTGTATTGCTTTTTGTTTTTAAAAATCAGTTTTATTTAGTTTTTGCCCAGGTCCTTGGGTTATCTAGTTTCAACTTCTTGGTCACCCAGCCAATTTCGGACATGAATTCTGTTTTGTGGAGCTGGCTTTAAGTCAAATCGGATATTGCTGAGATACCCCCACGAACTCTGTACAATTGAACTAGCGTATCTTGCAGGCAGAATACCATTGTAGAGCAAAGGGTTTGTAGCTGGCTTTTAAAATATTTTACAGAGCGCCTCCCTGCGCCAAAGAAGCTGGCACGGAGGACGAAGGTTCCGTGTTGTCACCAGCTCAGCTTCTCCATGGTCACTGACTTGTGTGGATGTTGTTCTCAGCAATGGCGATTTGTCAGTGTGTGAAGAGCAGCACAGAGCCTGGATTGTTTGGGGAGGAGGGGTGTTCCCACGGAACACCTCTGCTCAACGACTCAGATGTAACGCAATCGCAGTACTAGAAGTTTTATTTGGTGACAAGAGATGTCCAATTGGGGCTCTGTCTCTCCCATTATTTGACAATTTCAGTTAAGTCGCCATGATATATGTATATATATTAGGAAGCCTGTACTGTGTTAGGTTTCCATCCTTCCCCTCAAGTGGCCCTTAGTTTGAGCTGTCTCTCCCTGCATTCCTTCTCTCCTTCATCCAGCTCTTCTGTCTCCTCCCCGCTCTAGTCTCTTGTTCTAGTCTCATTTCCTGTTCATCCATAACTGTCTATTCTGTTTCCCCTTCCTAGGAAGCTCCATCTCCACGCTCCTACCCCAATCCCTCACTCGATACATAACCTTTGTGGTTCTACTGATTGTAGCTTGGTTAACATTGACCTAATAGCTAATGTTCACACCTAAGTGAATAACATAGCTTATTTATCTTTCTGGGTCTGGGTTACCTCACTCAGGATGATTTTTTTCTAGTTCCATTCATTTACCTGTGAATTTCATTCTTTTTTTAAATGGCCGAGTAATGATCCATTGCACAAATGCATCACATTTTCTTTATCCATTCATTCATCTGTGAGGGGCATCTGGAAATTCATCCAATTTCTGGATACTATGAATAAAGCGGCAATAAAAATGGTTGAACAAGTATCCTTGTGGTAGGATGAAGTGATTCCTTTGGGTATATGCCCAAGAGTGGTATAGCTGGATCTTAAGGTAGATCAATGTATGATTTATGCTGTGATAATGTTTCTTTTATGAACCTGGGTTCACTTGTGTTCGGTGCATAGATGTTAAGAATTGTAATGTCCTCTCGGATATGTCCTCTGATGAGTATGTAGTGTCCTTCCCTATCTCTTCTGATTGGTTTTGTTTTGAAGTCTGTTTCATCGGGCATTAAAATGGCCACACCAGCTTGCTTCTTAGGTCCATTTGGTTAGAATATCTTTTTCCATCCTTTTGTCCTTAGGTGATGTCTATCCAGGATGTTAAGTTCTGTTTCTTGGATTCAGCAGAAGGATTTCTCCTAGTTTTGTCTCCGTTCTGTCACTTTGTGTCTATTTATTGGGGGATTGAGACCATTGGTGCTGAGAGTAATCAGTGAACAGTGTCTGATTCCAGTTATTTTGTTGTTGGTGGTGGTGGTGCACGTGTCTGTGTATGAGTATGCATGTGTGCATGCACTTGTGTATGTGTGTGTCTTCCTTCTTTTGATTTGATGATCTGGGATTATTCCTTGTGTTTTCTTGGGTGTGGCTAACATTTTTAGACTGGAATTTTTTTTCTAGTGCCTTCGGTAGAGCTGGATTTGTAGATAGATATTGCTTAAATTTGATTTTATCATGGAATATCTTTTTTTCCCATCTATTGATCATTAATTCTTGCAACTTTTATCTCTTTCTTCTGGCGTATGAGCTCTAATACAGAACCAAATGGAAGTATTGATTCTTCTTTTATGAATCACTTTTGGAATATCTGCTGAATACATTTTATATTTTCATGTAAATCTTATTATATCTATCAAAATGGTCACTTGGCTTTACCTTTAATTCATTAAGTTGTGTAAAATTGTAATTTAGTACACATTCCACTTCTTATGCAAAGGGCTGGGTATAGTACTTAACACTTTGGAGGAGAGAAGAGAACACCAAAGTCTAGAAGAGGTCCCAGAAAACAATCTAGCACCGGGACAGTCATACTAGTGAGGAGAGGATGTGACCATACTGTGGAGTCATGCCTGAGAGGGTGTGACCACCCTGGGGAGTCACACTGGTGAAGAGAGGGTATGACCACCCTAGGAAGTCACACCTGAGAAGAGAGTGGGTATGTGGCCACACTGAGGAGTTACACCCTAGAAGAGAGGGTGTGACCACACTGAGGAGTCACACTTGAGGAGAGGGTGTGACCACACTGAGCAGTGTCTGAAAGCATTCAGATTGTGCCATCCAAGGTTATCAGGGCTTCAGAGGAAAGGGTCAGGGAGAAGAGAAAAGAACTGGACTGAGAGTTCGAAGAGAGAGAAGGAACCAGATTGTTAGTTAGACTTTATTAAAAGATGTTTCTCTCAGAAACAAAGAGATATAAGCATTAATCTGGATAAGATAAATGTGGTCTAAGTTTCCAGAATGCAGAGGACCTTAGTAATGTAGCAAGATCAGTCTTTCATAGCAGATCACAGACATTTAGAATTAATATAGCTATGATGGCACGCTTCCTCAGGTGGGAGTCCTGTATGGAATCCCATCCTCCCCAACCGTGACTGGTTGGTCCAGCTTGGGGCTAACAGCTCTGTTACCTGTAGTGACCCTTGGGAAGCCCTGTATGCTAGTGGAACTTCAGGATGTCAGTCATTTGCTCTGTCTCTCCTGTGAAAGCGTTGGTCTCTGGTTTCCTTCCTTCTCTCGGCTTTCCAGATTCTCTTGCACATCTGTCTATTTTTTTAAAGGATGCTCTTAGTCTCTTACTGGTGAAGTACAAAAACCTGATGTACAGCAAACAGAGGGGGCCAGCATATGGAACGGATTAACAGCCCTATGAGGGCCCATGCCCTCTACAAGAGAACATTCCATCTGTATTTATTGCTGCCATTCCAAGCTCTGCATAGATCAGATAGGGGTGGGAAGTCCCAGGAAAACAGCAGGGTCCAGGCACATGTGGCCAATTGCTTTTGGCCTGTGGTAAAGTTCACATTTGATTGTTTTCCAGATTATGTAGACCCAGACATATTTTACGCGGTCATCCGGATCTTCCTCTCTGGGTAAGTACAGCCTAGTTGGTTTCCTGCCTGAGACCTCTGTCCTGCTCCCCAGATTTGTGTGAGGATAGACAGACAGAAGCTTCCTAAAGTAAGACGTATAGCAAGTGACCCAAGCTGGCAAAGTCACCACCTTGGTCCACTCTAGGAGGCGAGAACCTAAGAACCATCAGAAGGAAAAAAGCTCTGAGGCTGGGAATCTAAGTCCAAAGGGGTTGTCTTCAGCCACCAGACTGGGACCATGGATCCTCTGAGAATCCCAACTTGATGACAGGGGCAAAAAAAAGAGATGGGAGATGGAGTGGGCCAGGGGAAGGGATGTGGGGAGGAGATGGAAGGGAGGGTAGAGGAGAGGAAGCCTGGAAAGTGATAGCCACAGTTTTACCTCTTTGCCTTTTGACCTTTGGGGGCATAGCTTTGGGGGACCCATCAGGAGACAAGAGCCCAGGCCTTCACTTTACTGAACCATTGATGCCTGATCTTGGACTTCCTCTCCTTCAGAGCTGTGAGAAATACAGCTCCATTGTTTATATTCAGCTGGAAGCATTTTTGCTGTATTGGTAGCAGGAATAGTTAGTTATTCACAGATCCTGTGTATCCTTGTTTTGTCTCACAACTACGCACTTCTCTTTCTGTCTGTCTGTCTGCCTGCCTGCCTCTCATCCCCTCTCCCCCCATCAAGCACATGTCTTCACCCAGTTATTCCTACCTTGGCACACTTTAACCAGGTTGTCACCTAATTCACCAACTACCAGCCGACTCACTTTTGAATGTTTGTGTCTTGTTGACTTGGAGATGCCAGTGATGCTATCAAGGGAAGCATCCAGGCTGTGCCTGGACACAGCAAGAGATAGACCAAATGCTGAATCTGAATCTATTACTGTCATGCCCCATTGGAGAAAAACTAAAGAGAGAGTGTGTGTGTGTGTGTGTGTGTGTGTGTGTGTGTGTGTCTAGAACTGAGATTTTTGTTTCCTTGGAAGTACCAGACTGGAATTTTCCTGGCCTGCTAGGGTCCTCCTCTGTTGCCCCTCCCCACCATGTCCCCAGTGTGACTCCGGACACAGCAAGGGCACTTGGCATTTTTCTAGAATTACACATTTTCCTGACTTCTCTCTTGACCACCGCCAGGGGAAATTTCTCTTGAAGGAGCTCTTGTGGCTGCATTCAATCTACTCGGATGAGTCAGGGAAATTCCCACATTAAGGCTAAACTGATCAGTGGCCTTAATCCCATCTGAAAAGTCCTTCTGCCCTGTCCTATAATAAATATATCATGGTGACCGGAACAGCTCATAGTATTAAGAGTCCTAGGAATTCAGTTGGGAATCTTGGGGAACTATTTTTAGAATCCTACCCACCAGTGTCTTTCAAAGGAATCGTTCTACTTCCTCTTGTCAGAGGCTTGATAAGAACCAGAAGCGAACTTTGTATGCATCAAAATAAGTTCCGGGCAATGACATTTTTTATCTGGTATCTGATTAAAGGCTATCCCTCCACTTCAAATGCTGAGACTGTTTACTGTGCCACTAAGTGGCTGTACGAGATCCCAAATATAGCTATAGTTTCAACAGACAGCTGGATTGTCGGGGGATTCCAGTAGCCTTGTCTTTAAAATGTCAGCTTCACCACTCTGCATCTGTCTTCTGCAGTTTCTCATTTGCTTCTTTAAAACACACTTTTATTTAGGAGTGGATGTTGTATGGAAATGAGATGTATTCCTTCCAGTTTCCAGCCCAGCACAGGTCTCGGAGAGGCCACGAGCTGGTCCCAGGTTGCTCTACAGAGAAACATTGCTTCTTCGTTTTGTCGTCTCCTTCAACTTCCTCTTTCCTTGGGCTTGCTAGAAATACACCAGGAGTGGGTCTAAAAATAACCTTATCATAGAAACCGGAAATGAAAATGGCCCCACTCTTTTACAAACAGCAGCTCGGCCTACTTGTTCACGAGGTGCTCACCTACTTGGGGAAAGAGGCATTTGTGTCTCTCAGTGCTGCCCGGCATCGGGTGTGAAAACAGACTCAAGTTCATCATCTGACCTCTGGCTGGTGTTTCCTACCTCAGCATCAGCATGGCTGGCTTTAGCCAAGGCACTTCAGTGAGTGTTGGAAAGACATTGCCTGATGGTGTTCTTGACATTGCCATATCTGATAGGTCCCTAAAGCTAGCTGGGCTCTTTCGAATACTTGCCTTGAGTTTTTCTGGCCGTGTCATACTGACCAAAATGTTCCTTTCTCATTCATTCATTCATTCATTCATTCATTCATTCATTCATTCACTAATAAATCCGTAGTGAGGGTTTAGCACATGCTAGACGTCATTGAATGTGCTGGAAACGGCAGTAAAGGAAAGCAGTCATGTGGTCCTTGTGAAGCCTCTGATTTCAGGACGGGGAGAAGATATTGATGAAGCAAACCTAATCAAAGTAAACATCCTACAGTTGTGTTACAGCAAGAGGCTGCGTGAAGCAACGCAAGGTAGGATGCAGGGTTCTAGGGAGGGACCACTGGGTGTGGTGGCTCAGGTGTCTTGTTTATTAATATCTAGAAATATCTCATCCCGGTAATATGTGAGTAGATATCCACAGGCAAGGGAGTGGGCTTGGAAGAGGGTTCCTGCTCTAAGCAGAGGGAACAATTGCCATGACCCAGAGGAGGGAGCAGACATGAAGAACAGACTCAGATGTGCGTGAGAACGAGGATGCCTGTCACTGTGGAGGACTCTCAGTGGGGACAGTGCTGGCTTCCTTTCTGAGCAGCACAGTCCTGTTTGGGGCTTCAGGTTGTCAGTACGCCTGCTGAATGGGGTAGGGTGGTAGAGAACAGGATCACAAAGAAAGCAGCAGAGGTGGACCCAAAGAGAAGATGCTGAGATGGAGATGAATGTCAACCATCTTGAAGATGAGGGAGGAGTTGGAGTTTATTCATCCTGTGGGACCTAACGCTGATCACAGAGAAACAGGAGCATGTGTGCCCTTGGCTGCTCTTGACACAGATTACAGCCCGTGTGCCGGTGTGGACCAGGTCCATTATCCACACAGTCGTCATGTTGGCAACATCGCTTCCTCATAAAATATCATTCGCCAGTTTCAGTAGCCCTGAACCCTGATAGTCTTTGGGCTGTTGACAGGCCTCTCTGGATCCCATTCAAATCCTTGACCAGATGCAGGGAGCAGGTTCCTCTACAGACGAGGGGAACTGAGGCTCACAAAGGCATGTGTAATGTGTCTAAGAGACAAGCAGAGGCAGGCATTCTTAGCTTCCAGGGTAGCTAGAACAGTAAATGGCTGGTGCTTACTGAATGTCTAATATGTCCCAGGCACCTGGCAAATAATATTTAAATCGGTTCTTACAATGACCCATAAGATAAGTATGAATGTCAATGCTCAACATGGCTCGTATCTCAAAGGAATAACTTAGTTTATCCTTTGACCAAACATTAGTGAGCAGAAACAGATTCCAGTTGTCCCAAATGCACATGTTCCAGTGTGGAAATGGAGGCACGTTTACGGTTCAAGGCAAAGCAAGTCACCAATCAAGGGTTTTTTTGAGAACACTGGTGGGGGTCCCAGGCAGGCAAGTTACAGCAAAACCAGGAGAGCTTTGTATAAAGGTTGCCTTCGAGTGATGAATGAAACCCCTTGGAGCCTTACGATGATGGGAGCCTGTTGTCTACTAGGTCAATACTTTCCAAACCACCACAGAGAGGTTGAGTCAGGCAGGAGGGGGTTAAAGATAGCCCAGTGTCATTTGGGTCTGGATCTTCAAACATTCCGACTCTCCATGATCAGTTCAATCATCTTGGTAGAATCTTTAACACAGGCATGGCCTCCCCCACAATCCCCATACCACCACCTGTATCTTCAGCTCATAGTAACACCACTCAGATAAGAAAGCCAAGGCTCTGAGAGGTTCAGTGTGCTAACCTAGGGCTAACAACCAGTGTACAACAAAGTTGAGCTTAAATTCTGTATCTGCCCAGAATGGAGATCTTGTCCCACAGGCTTCTTGGCCTTCTTCCTGTGTATCCTTTCTTCCTCTTTCTTATGCTGTACCTCTTTTCCGAACATGACTTCCCCAGTTGGTCACCACTGAAACTCATGGAGCGGTTGACCCCCAAACAGCCACCAAATCTGGCAACCTGGCTCCCTGTTGCGTTTGGAGCTACAGAGCAGAGTCTGGGGAAGGTCTAGGCTGCAGAGAAGGGAGTTAGCCTGGGCACAAGACTTGGACTGACAAGGAGCAGAAACAGCCGTGCCAACCTGCTACTTACCCTGTCACCCAGGGGCTGGTTTGCTCGTCGGCAAAAGAGGTCATTGTGCTTCTTGGTGAAGGTAGACATCTACGGGATAAAGGAAAATGGAACTGCAATCTAAGAATGCGGTGTGTGTGTGTGTGTGTGTGTGTGTGTGTCTGCCTGTCTGTCTGTCTGTCTGTCTGGTCCTGGTATAGCTCAAGTCTTTGCTTCTTTAGGAAAGAAGGTAAAAATTGCCTGGCCCTATCTATTGCCAAGTGGTCAGGGTGAGCGTGTGCTCGTGTATAAGGTGCAAGCATTGCAGGTGTCTGCATGGTATGCCATGCTCCACTAAGCTTCAGCTAATGGGTTAAGACTAGGACAAGTCAAGAGGGGTGAACAAAAGAGAGAGAGGCAGAAAATGAGGGTCACAGGAAGGATAGAGGGGGAAGGAGAGGCATGGGAAGGTCACGTGCGAGCAAAAACCTCAGGCTTCCTTTGCCCAGCTGCCCCTAGGCTCTGGTGTCCACAACATTAGTCACACCACTGCTCTCCCTCATCATGCTTGTCATCACTGCTGTGACAAACCACTTGATAACAGTTCTCAGGGAGCATGAAACGCCCGGCCACCGGTTTAACGCTGCGAACATTTCCAAGTGTTACGGGGAATAACGGTTAAGTGTCTGTGTGTGCTTGTGTGTAACTGGGAAGCTGTACTTGTGGGGTTATGAGCGTCGGGCTATAGTGTTCGTCATAAGCAGAGGGGGTGGGGTCTCGTTCAGAGCCTTTGAATTGCCCTGTTGATGGTGGTGATGTAATAGGTGCACGTCTGGCGACAGAGCTGTTGTTTAAATCATTGTAAAACCAATGAGTAAAGTTTCTACCCTTGCTTCTCTGGAAGAATCCCTTAAGAGGAGCAGAAAAAGTTCCACCGTAGTGTCGTGTAAAGATGAAGTCAATCTAACAATTCCTTGGGTAGTTTAGCAAGCTTTTTATTTCTCCTTCTCCTCTTTCTCCTCTTTCTCCTCTTTCTCCTCCTCCTCCTCCTCCTCCTCCTCCTCCTCCTTTTTCTTCTTCTTGTCATCACCACCACCACCACCACCATCACCACCACCACCACCACCACCATCACCATCATCATTTTTGCTCCTGACTAGGTGGAAGGACAACCCAGCCATGCCTGTGGGGCTGGTCTACGAGGGTGTTTCCACAGAGCCTCTGAAGTACTCTGGAGGAAGTGCAGCCCAGAGCTCCGTGCTTCATGCTTTTGATGAGTTCCTGGGTATTCAGCACTGCAAGGAAAGTGGTAAGCAGCAGTCCGATCTCACCCACGCTCTGAAGGGACAGCTAGGCATAACAGGGAGACATCTCTAGCCGCTGATAAAAACAGGCATAAATGAAAATGTCCGGAAGCTTATACTCGACTAAAACAGCTGTCAGTATCCGGGCATTGATCTCATCAGGATCTCGGGTTCATTTCCAAGTCTTAAAACATTGCTGTGACCTGGGCTCTTGACTGTCATGTTGGGTTAGGTCTTTTATCTGTAGATTCCCCTTTCTACAATGAGGTGATAATGTCAAATTCAAAGGCTAGGGCCTTGTGTGACCCAGTCTGCAGCAGCAAGTAATAGGCCTGAACGTCTCTGCTAAGCCTTTCCCATAAAATGGCCCAGCCTCCCACTGAATCCATGTGGACCAGAAGAGGGAGCCCGTCAGTGAAGCCTTTGAAAACAGTTCTTATTGATTTTCCTGGCAGCACAAAGCTATGCGTTTAATGGCTCCAAAAAGGTATTTATTGCTACCAGACTTTGACTTGGATCAGAACCGAAAGGAAATGAAACTCTCCGGCCTCATCTGCATGAGCCTGTTCTCTGTAACAGTCAGGGTTGTTTCTGGGTTTCAGCATTTGATTTTAGTCATTGACTCTCAATAACCAGTCAACCAACCAACCAACCAAACAAACAACAAACAACAACAACAAAAATCAACCCAGACAACATCAGTTAAAGGTATAATGACTTTCTAGAAAACACTAAGTTTTCAGTTTTTTAGCTTCTCCAGGTTTTTACTAAAATACCTGCTTACCAATGTCTTCTCTATGTGCACAGTAACTTCCATTTCCTGACTCCACCCCCACCCCCCATACCTCCAGCTAGAAGTGTCTAGCAAACAGAATTTGCCAGGGTGTTCTGCCAGTCAGGGTAAGGGTTTGTGTGTGTGCTTGTAGACATGTCTCTTAGTCCTCGGCAGGAAACACCACATCATTCACACACACGGACTACTAGATTTCTGTCCAACTTTATTATCTGAGAGATGCTTGCTTCTTTTTCTCCCCTGCATCTCCTGTCAACATCCAGAAATGTACGTCTGAGCATTTGACAGCTATAACAAAAGCCCAATGAGGCTGAGCAAGCCCTATCAAGCGTCTCTGTTACCTGAGTGTTTGGAACAGCGGGCAAACCCTCCTGAATGTCTGCCTTGAGCTAAGGTATTACTCCCGGCTGTTTCTTTCAGTTGGGTTTCTACACAGAATGAGGGACTACATGCCGCCTTCCCATAAGGCCTTCCTGGAGGACCTCCACTCAGCTCCTTCACTGAGAGACTACATAACAGCCTCGGGTCCTGGGGGCTGCCGGACAGCCTATAACCAGTGTGTGGAGGCCCTGGTGGAGCTGCGCAGTTACCACATCAACATGGTGGCCAGATACATTATCTCCACGGCCACCAAGGCCAGGAGCAGGATGCTAACTCAGGTCTCACCCCACGCCTTGGAAGACAGGGGCACTGGGGGCACTGCTGTGCTGAGCTTCTTGAAGAGTGTCAGACAGAAGACCATGGAGGCCATCCTGTGTCCCGGTGCTTAGCAGCCATGTCCTGTATCCAAATGCTTAGCTATTCTCATCCTGCACCCTAGTGCTTAGCAGTCACATCCTGCATCCCAGTGCTTGGCAGTCACATCCTGCATCC